TGACCATTTCCATCACGTGGAATGTCAACAACACGCTTGTGGCTGAATATCTCACCTCCAGCTCTGCTCGTTGGGTTGAACAAAGCCGTTTGTCATCATGCAGTGATTTCAGCCGTCAGCGGACACAAGGTGGAGCCATCTCTCCCTGTTAACACGCTGGTTTTAGTGTTTCAGTCTCTCTGTTGGTTTGCACTGAGGGTCCAATCAAAACAGCCTTTTTAATGCTAAACCCATTTTTTAAAATTGCTGTGGAAAAGCAGCCAATCTGTTGAAGTTTGAAAAACGTACTGTATGAATGTATGAGACGGAGGAGCCACCACATGGCCTGTCATGCATGACTTTACCATTCTGCATCCCTCTGCTGGTTTGAATGCTACACATGCATTTAGATATGATGCTAACACATGCTAACTTGCTCGTAACCACTGAAAACATCACATTAGTTCTGCATGTGTTTGTTCGTGAAACTAAATATTGTAATTATTAAGTGTAGCTTCACTCTAAAGACCAAATTTTACATCAGTCCTCTTAATGGTACTCACGCCCTGTATACATTACAGCTTTAAGTTGCCTCTTAAACACACTTTATCAACCCCTGTGCTCACTTTCAATCACAGAATACTTTTAGTCCCTACAGCGGTGTGCAGTGTTTACACTCAGTCATTCACGAAACACAATTATTCTCACATCCCTCAGCTGTGAAACTGCTGTACAACCAGTGTTAGACATTATTACTGATAAAAAATGAATGAAGTTGGGCTTCCTCAGTCAATAACGACAACAACCTGCTGATCGATCCATCATGTTTCTGAGGATATTACAGAGTGATACAGGAAAAGGCTGCAAGGTGGCGCAGTTGGTAGCACCGTTGCCTCGCAGCTAGAAGGTCGCCGGTTCGGTTCGCCCGGGATCTTCCTGCGTGGAGTCTCCATGTTCTCCCCGTGCAGCGTGGGTTCTCTCCAGGTTTTCTCTGGGTTCCTCCCACAGTCCAGAAACATGTTCAGGGTTAGGGTTAGGTTAGGTTCAGGTTAATTGGTGATTGTAAATTGTCCGTAGGTGTGAATGTGAGTGTGCTTGGTTGTCTGTCTCTAAGTGTAGCCCTGTGATAGACTGGTTACCTNTCCTATTACAGCCCTTCTTGCTGCGAATAATTTGGATTGTGACTATTATTGACCTTAATATTAATTCTAGTGTTTTAAGGCAGAGTGAAAGAGATGCAAACGTAAAAAAAAACAAACAAAAAAAACCCCTAAAAACTAACAAGTCCATTCACTTTACACAGACACGCATTTATTTTTGTCACTATCAACCATTAAATCACAACGAAACAAGATCACAAATGGCAAAGATGAAGCTGAAATAAAAAGAAAAGTCTCCCAATTTGTGAACTGCCAGTTAAAGCTGCCATATGAGATACTGCATTTTTAACTGCGGTTTTGGAATTTTCAGATAAAAATATAAAAAAAATAAAAGCAGAAAGCCACTAAACGTCCAGCAGCTGTGCAGTTAATAAAGGCGAAGTTGTGTCGTTGCTCCTTTTCCTGGGTTTCGAGACGACGCAGCGAGTCCGAGCAGCTACAGCGGCTCACCTCTGTGTTGTGATCACATTAGTCATTACCATTTATTAACATAAATCTTTGTTGCCACGACCAAGCAATCCCGGAGCAGGAGCTGATCAACTAGTGTTGCCTGGCGACAGTTTCAAAAGATGGAAAATATTTGAAGAGCGACAGATATAATTAGAGTTGGAACTGATAAAAAACAAAATTTTAAAAAGAACCGTATCCAGGCAAAGAAAAGAAGCTCACAAGACTATTACTTTGTGTTTGACGGTGATTCAATGCTAAAAACACTTCTTATAGGTTTGGTGGATTTTTATCTGACTACCTCACAGCCTAAGCCCAAGAATCACACAATCATCAACTCAATACACTGATTTTATGATTCTCAGATGGTCAAATAATTCCAAAAAGTCGTGTCGATAGGTTGGGATCGTTACTTTATTGAGCCTTTTACAGCAGCTACATCAGAAACACAGACAACGTCACAAGACCCCCGACCCCGAAGGCACATAAAGTATGAAACAAATCATATAATATAAAATAAAAAACAAGATAAATAAATAGATGCCCAGTGTGCAAATGTCAGATGGATTTTAAAACGTATGTACATAAAGTGCCGTAGTTATGCAGCCGTGTGGTTTTTGTTGCACGTTGCACGGCAGGAAGGACCTCCTGCTGCTGCTTCTTGGAGGAATCGGTCTGTGACTGAAGGTGCTCTGCTGAGACACCTCCAGGCTTCATCACTGCTCAGCTTCCAGCTTCCTGAGCGCTCTCACCTCGGCCACCTGCTGCACTGTGTCCAGTTCAACCCCAGTGATGGAGTGGATGGATATTGCCACTTGCCTCTCTCCTCTCCTATCAGTTCTAGCAGCTCAAATATCATCCACAAGACTGCTTCATTTCACATTTTGCAATATCTTCTTTTTTATTTTGCTCTAGTTTCGGAAAACAGTTTGAGTCACTAAAAGCAAAAATGACTAAAAATAGAGCCACCCACCTGCATTATCACGGCTCTGTGTTGGTCCTGTTGTGTTTGTTGCCAGGTGTAATTGGAGACCTTCTGACTAATGGCCAGTCAAGCATGGATGGTGAACACGGAGGCAAAGTGCATGATTATACATGACAACCTGAGGAGAGCTAATGGGGGGATGTTTATGTGTGGAGGTCATGTGCACACGTCTCTATTTAAGTCATTTGTACCATCAGTGTACCACAAATGCACCAGCAGATGACTACAGCTAACCATGTCTGTCGTGGCAGTCGTGAGTTTAAAATGACTATTATAATTTAGAATATTCTCTGATGCAATCACTGAAACACAGAAAAACAATCCTGCATTTTGCTTCTTGCACAGATTTATTGAAGGTCTTCTGAAAATGTGACCAAATCTTCTGCTGGCAATAATACACACAGCGCCCTCCGTAATTATTGGTTAAGATGTGTTAAAAGCCTTAAAATAAATTCAGTTTTTATTGCAGAAGCACACTCTCACACTGAAAATTGTAGAAAAATGTGACCTTCAACTCAACTCAAATGAATTGTTGGCAGAAGGCGGTTGTTCAAAGCATTAACATCACGGGTGCTAATCACAGTGGCCCACATGATTTGATGTAAAAGAATTATTTTTTAATGTGGGACTTTTTTCACACTGAGTAAATGCGCTTGAATTAAAGGTTGAATTTTCCTCTTTTTTGTCATTGTGGTCCGATATTATTTAGAAAAAAATATAAAAATTTACTAGAAGCTAAAGAACACATCTTAACCAATAATTATAGAGGGCGCTGAATACAGCAATGGGAATGTTTGTGAGACAGAATCGCTGCAGTTCAACAAAACTTGTGGTCTTTCTGACTTGTTTCTTCACCAGTCCACAGGTTCTGGATGGTTCCAGTCAGGACTTTGGGGAGACCAGTCTAGAACCTTCATTCCAGCCTGATGGAACCATTTCTTCACCACTTTGATGTGTGTTTGGGGTCATTGTCTGGTTGGAACATCCAACTGTGTCCAAGATCAACCTTCTGCTGATGGTTTCAGGTTTTCCTGAAGAACGTGGAGGTGATCCTGACAGTGTGAACCAGAGCACCACCTACATGTTAAATCAGTGGCAGTCTTACATCATCATTTCTCTACTGGATACTGATATACAGGACAAAGCACTTACAGAAAGGTTTAGATCAGGACTTCGGGGAGACCAGTCTAAGACTTTCATTCCAGCCTGATGGAACCATTTCTTTACCACTTTTAATGTATTTGATGTGTTTGGGCTCATTGTCTGGTTGGAACATCCAACTGTGTCCAAGATCAACCTTCTGCTGATGGTTNACCTGGATCTATATCAGGTAAATATTCAGGTGTTCACATGAAAACATGAAAAACACTCAAATGCAAAAGGAACGGCACAGTAAAAAATAATAAATAAA